CGAGGAGAACAGAGACGCTCGAGAAGAAAGTTCCCTGCAATTTTCCTGTGGTCCACACAACTTTCCTGTCACTTGCAAATACCGTTCAGGTCGAGACCGGAGGACTATTCCAGATTTTGAGCTAAAAAACTGGGCTTCTGCGTCAAAAATCGATATATTGATCGATTCACCAGCTCCTACGTCAAAATCGATACACCGATCAGTTGCGGTGAAAGTGCGAGCCATGAATAGGCTATGCTACATAAAAAGTTCTCCCCGTAGAAAAACACTTTAATCAATATGTGCGCCCGCGTATTGACCAAGTGGATCCGCTCAAGGAGTAGGAGGAACGGTATCAACCCCCTCCCGAATCGAAAATCAATATATCGACTGGTTGGCCGATCGATGCGCAGTGCCAAATGTGTGCCTGGTCGTGTAAGCTCAAGGTTTCTCTTCATTCAGAAATATCAACCATTTACCCATTGTACCTGGATATTAACCGACTGAACCTTTCCCTGAGTAGCAGGGACTACGGTGGTAAATTACGGTGGCTGCACTTCGTGATCACATGGTTTTCATGGCCCGGACTGGAGACAGTAATTGCCGTCTTGCTTGAAGTAAGGTGTTGTCAGTGAAATCATGCTGTGCACGTTAGTAATCTCGTTTCCTTGCATGCAACAACATGCTAACGATGCCATGATGCGAGCACCAGCAGGTCCTGACACGATAACAAAGCAGACTTTGCACAGTGGTGTACTGTAGTCAAAGCGATTAGTGTCTGATTGTCTGCAACACGGCAAATCTAATTTTCCTTTTGTTTCGAGTCAGTAACGTGCTGATGAGAACCCGTGTCTGTCGTCAGGTGACTGGGAAAGCGCAAAGGGGGAGATGGGGCCCGGGAAAGTCCCGAACCTCTTGTATGGTTTGGGCTAAACAATCCTAAGGATTTCTTTGCCTGCTTATCTTGCAAGTATTTCCCTGAACGACAGAGTTATTAAAACACACTCTATCCCAGGAGATCTCTCTATTACATTAAACTACCTGAAACCTGTGTATACTGAAACCTCTACGAGTCAAAAAAACCAATAAATCTTGATTCCATGGAACCCTACTCGGCCAGAGAACATCTTCTACTGACTCCAGCGCAGCTCATATGATTATTCTGTTTCGCAATATAATCTTCGCACTAAAGTGATCCGTTTTTATTTGATCCTGTTAGGCTTGTTTGCCCCGACCGCTAATCGTCCCTACGTTTAATTTTATGGGGAAACCTTCATGTTTGACTGTGTGGTGGTCCCCGTCCTCGCCCTTCCCTCTCAGGGAACTGCCAAGGGAGCGGTCTAACACATCAGAAATCGTCACTTTTCGAAGTTGGAAGGACATTGAAGGGACCACACAAAGAGCACGTGTACGACGGTTCAATAGCTGTGAAATATCGCCTTGGCTGGTAAAATTAATTGTTTTGCTGCGTATTTTAATTGCATTGGCGCCGGCTGGCTATTTCACAAAGTCCTACCTAGATAGGGGTTTTCCTTCTCAAGACAGGGATAAGGGCTAATCACCAACAGGTTATTCAGACCCAGGCGATGTTGCCCAGATTGTCCAGTGGACGTTCTGGGTTAACAAAAATGGGATGGTCTCCAAATGATTCCCCCAGGTGCAGGGACACCATCCCCAATCGTCCCAGATGGGCCATCTGCAGGTCACCTAGAGTCTCAGAGGTTCAAAATTTAGCGCCACTTTCGCGAAGCGCCAAGGTATCAAAAAACATGTGGAGTCGATACGCGATGCAATTTGGTGATTACTTTGACAGACTTGTCACCGATTGGTCTCCTGGGATAGCATAAGAACACCCGGACGAGCATCAACCTCATGTTGAAGCTCAAGCTCAAGCTCACCAGGGGTGTGAACGGAGCTTTCGTTATCTCCTTCAGGGCAGGATGTACGTTGTAGATCCACAGCAGAAGGAGTAAGAGGGGGGAGGGGGTATTTGCCCTCACTGAAAAATATTTTTGGTTATTGGGTTGTTGTTGACTTTTCTCGGTTTTCCCTGTTTCAAGTGCGCTATATACCACTTCCCTCCCCACACTCAATGCTCAAGCGGCTCTCTTTCGAAAACAGTTGAAATTTTAGAATTACGAAAAAGCGGTGGGAACTTGAGAAGATTTGGGAACACGCTAAGTTGGATGGAGATTGGGACTAGGATGGGAAAGAGGGAAGCAGTCGTACCAGAAGCCTAAATTGACCTGTCTGATGATACGATGGGGTGATCGGTTTTCTTAAGATTTATAATTTTTTTTTGCTTTCTGAAATTACCAGTGTTTAAGTGTACTCTGCTAAAGATTTCACGATAACCGAGTAGGTGGAAACTCTCAGCGATAGCGTCTTAGTCGTTGGTGCGCCCCTTCCTACACAGTAAACACGGGTGCGAGGGAAGGCGCACTGGTTAGCAGTCCCCGCCCAATTCTCCGCCCATTCGTTTATCACGGAACGTTTGTTTGAACATGAAGCGCAAAACACGAGACACATTTTTGTCAACACTGTGTTCACACTTCGACTCAGCCATACCGGCTTGTTTGTGAGTAATGAATATTGATCGCAGGCGCGTAAAATCGATACCCAGTCTAAACTGCCGCTTAAGCGAGTTGGTGCGAAAAAAACTCGAAGTCCAATGAAATGATAATCACTTGCCGAACACCTTTTTTATCGAAATTTAATTTTTTTATGAACCAAACAACCCACCACTTCAATAGCCTTTGCTTATTGATTGCTATTGATCACTTGCTCAATCGATTTTCTTCAGAACATGTACCGGTGACGATGTGATCGGATGCGCGTATTTGGGTATGTTGGCACATGACAAATCTGAAATCGAACAATGGAAAAGCACTGTTGAACACATGGGAAAGGAATATAAGGTGAGCCGGATCGATTATTGATTATCGGGGATCACGTTGAAGCTGAATCGATTATTGATAGTCAGGGACTCGATCTATAGTCAATCGTTTAAGGGCACGCACAACTTGAAACCGCCTCATTCGGCGCCACCAGTACATGTAGCGGAAACTGGCGATAACGATGAGGATGATGATTAACTATCGATCGATTATTGATTATTCAAGCGATGTTTGGGCACAAGAAGCACTGATTTTCATGGTTCGACGCGTAAACTCTGCGTCTCTGACCAGTAAGAAGCAGACGGCAGATGATAAGGTGATAAGGTCTACAGTACCTCACTTCTAGCACTTCTCTAATACGTTACTAGTTGCGTTGTGTCTTAAAATGAGGCTAGCAATAGTACGGGTAGAACGATTATTGATTATTTTTTGCATGCACGCATCATACGCATACATATTTGGGTACCTTATATGTATATTTGATGTTATCATAGCATATTATTTTTTGTTATATCGTTCTCATTGATATTGATCGATATGTTTTGGCATTATTCTGGTATTGTGATCTCGCGAATGATAATCAATCATAAGCACTCTTTTCATTTATATCGATTTTGCTATCATTGTTCCTAATCAATATGTTATTGATTGCAGCAGGCTCTATCGTTCCGTGGCTTTCATCATTATCATCATATCTTATCATCATATATTATGATCTATTACTCAATAAATCTTGCAAACTCATTCCTATTGTGCTTCCTGTAAAAGCGATTTCCACGCTGGTCACATGGGCGGAGTCAGGCATATGTGCCTTCCTCATTAGCGCATCACTATGCGCACGAATTTCATTCGTGCGAAGCCTCTCGTTCCCTCCAAAACCGTGGGCGGGGAGCAGCGAACAGGTGAGGCAGGCACAATCATAAGCCCGGCTCCGCCCACACGATGAACCTGGATTATTGCTTTTAACGTTGGTTCAGAAAAGAGACCCC